AGTACATTCAAGCATTGGGTATAGGATTGAGTTGCATAAGTTCTTCGCGTTGAAATCGAGCCGAACACTCCATCAGAGGGAGTGTACGGCCGTACACATGAGTGTACGGCCGTACACATGCATGTACGGCCGTATACCCATGTTGGCCGTACACCCCCTCCATAAGTATGATATATTCTTCATTTCTAGCCATTTCTTCAACTCCCAAGGCTAGAAAATCGACTTCTCTCTCAAGTATCATCGAGTTCTTCATCCCCGATCTTCAAAAACGTAAGTGATTCTTCCATCTAGTTGTTGTTATCCTTCTTAATCTTGTATCACCCTTTGATTTCATCCATGAAAATCATCTTTTTTGGGTAGATCTTCAAGATCTTCATCTTTCACCAAGAACATACACTTGTTCTTGGTGGATGTGAACACCCTTTTGAGCCTCCAAAGTGTAAGTATCCTTTCCTTATGCTTAGTACATGTTAGATAATCATGTTAAACATTATAGAATCGACATTTAACTGGAACCAAAGGAGTGTACGACCGTACACCCATGTGTGGCCGTACACCCCTCAAAACACCCCAAAAGGGCCTCCAAAGTGAGAATCTAGTTCCTATTCTTGTTGAGCATTAGTCCCTCAAGCTTCTCCATTGATTCAAAGACCCTCTTGTGCACATTTTACCATGAGTTTATAGCCGTACACTCCATGGCCGTACACCCATGGTCGTACACTCCTCATTGTGGCCGTACACACCCATTTGATGAATCACATGTGATTATAACACTTGGTCCAAGTGTTTCCTAGTCCCTAAGGGTGTTTCCTTGCATGTTAGTTGCTTATAAACACTATATTCGTGCCAATACATGCCATATATGTCATTTAGGACTCGTTTGTGTCTCGGGACTTCATTCGTGGAACTTCTCATCCTTACACGAATATACAATTGAATCACCCACATAAGGTGAGTTCATACCCTTATAATAAATGTTTTAAACTATTTTAAATGCTTTTAAGGGGGGGGGGGATACAAGTTGAACACAATGATAATTGTCTAAATGTTTGTTATAAACATCTTTCAAGGGATTGCTTATGTTTTTATAAGTGATCAAAACATTTCAAAAACTCTTTTTAAGTTATGTTACTTTATAGTTTATAAAACTCTGTTTTTAAAGTACAATCATAACTTAGTAGATAAATGAGTCTTTTTAGTAACAGTTCAAGTAAACATACTAGTAAACTATAATAGGTATAGTTTAGGGGTTCAGTTCATACTAGATACTATAACATACTATAAAGAGAAACAGGGAGGTAGATACAATACACGATAACAGAAAGAACACACTAAGATACTATAACAGAAGAACAAATCATGATTAACATAATTATACTAATGATTCCCAGTAACCTAGGAAGGGAACGTATCACTAACTCATTGTTCTAAACAAAAGGTGATAATAAAAGTAGTATAATGGATTATATATATATATATATATATATATATATATATATATATATATATATATATATATATATGGTGCATCTACAATATGCCATGATTTATATATATATATATATATATATATATATATATATATATATATATTATATATATATATATGGGATACATCTACAAAGTACCGGAGTTATATATGGGGTACATCTACAAAGTACCAGATTTTTTTATAAAGGGGTACATCTACAAAGTACCGGACATTAATAAATAAAACACATAAATATATACAAAACTCATAACATACTAGTAACATGAACAAGTACTTCAGTATGTCAATTTAAAAGACAACTGTAAACTTACATCATTACAAACGACAAACAGAACAGTCGAGTCATAGTACATTCAGTAGAAAGGGGCCTATCATGCTAACTTTATGATTCCTTAGTTTATACATCAGGGATATATATTAATCGGATCCGACAGGTAGTAGGATGTGTACTTTCCACTTCATTTCCTGTTCCTTGTTTGATTGTGGGCTTAGAGCAGATTCACCCAGCCTACTATCTATCCGATTTAAGCTATATATATATTCATTACAAACGACAAACAGAACAGTCGAGTCATAGTACATTCAGTAGAAAGAGGCCTATCATGCTAACTTTATGATTCCTTAGTTTATACATCAGGGATATATATTAATCGGATCCGACAGGTAGTAGGATGTGTACTTTCCACTTCATTTCCTGTTCCTTGTTTGATTGTGGGCTTAGAGCAGATTCACCCAGCCTACTATCTATCCGATTTAAGCTATATATATATATATATATATATATATATATATATATATATATATATATATATATATATATTCCGTATACACCAAGTAATCATAAGGAGTACCAGGTATAGGCTAGGTCATAGTATACTACTTCAATGCACCGTTTTCTAGTACAAAACATACTTTTCAAATAGAACATTTGGTAGACAAAACTAGAAACATACCAGTAAAGGTTTAATCCATTTTATTAAACCAGTATAACTTAAAGGACCTTAGGTGGTTAATTCTATAATACCTTAATTTATACATCAGAGTTATATATAATTAATATCCGATAGGTAGTTAGATGTGTGTTTTGCGCCTTACTTCCTGTTCCTTGTTTGGTTGTGGGCTTAGGGTAGATTCACACAACTAACTATCTGTTCGATATTAGATTATATATAGCTAGTATAAACTAAGTGATTATAGAAGGAACTATTGTGGTTACCATTTTTACTAAAAGAAATAAGGGTTTTCTTAAAGAATCTTTTCATCAAATATAAAGGAACTATTACAGTTAACTCCGTGAGTACCAAGTGAGTACGCCAGGGTTATATACAACAATGATCTAACAACCAATGGGCTGTGTGCCTTCCGCATCATTTCCTGTTCCTTGTTTGGTTGTGGGCTTAGGGCAGATACACAGAACCGATTGTTTGTTTACTCTGGGTTTTATATAACTTGTATCCATTTAGTACTCATAGAAAGGATTGTAGAGTCATTTTTACTTATCTTTCATCAAAGCAGGAAATATAGGATTTTTTGGAGGAACAGGCGAACTTTTCTAAACAGATGTTACAACTTACTACAAATTTCTTACAACTTACTTACATCACTAAAATCTTATGAACTCACCAGCTTAAATGCTGATCTACGCTTTCAAAATAACTTGTATTCTCAGGAGACCAGTAGACAGCTACACGCACTGGGATTCAGAAGATGGAGCAGTATAGCTTCATGTCTTGTTTGTTATTTACTTTGTAGTCTATGTTATGTGAACCACATACTTTTGTAAACACTTTCTTTCTAATGAAATGGTTGTTTGTTACTTTGATTACTATGATACATGTCTTGTGATACTAAACATGACGTCCTCCACCCCCGAACGTTTCCGCAGTTCCGGTTTTGGGGTGTGACACAGCGTACTAGACTTAACTTCAAAACCACCAAACTTCTGAAGGCCATAACTTCTTCAGTATAAGTCCGATTTTTACGATCCTTCTATCCACGGAAAGGTATTGAGAAGCTCTACATTCCTATCAATTCTCCTTTGCCTTAAAACTTCTCGAACTTAAATCCAAAATTCATAAGAGGCCCGAACCATCACTTTACGGTTATACCCTTGGGCTCCAGAACACAGACCGAACTCTTGGATCACCTAATCTAACATTATCCACATCCAATGGGGTCTAAATCTCTCTTTCCCCAAGGCCCAAAGCCTTATGAGAACTGATCTTCGAGTAACGACCCAAAATTGGGAAACGATTCGAAACATGGTGTTTACACATGTGGTCTGATGTTGTAGATTCTTTCATGCGTTACAAGTGCAAGTAGTAATCGTTGTACGAGAGGAGGTTAGAGCACAAGGATTTGGACTAGAATTTGATTTTTGTATTTATATTCCTTATTTCTTAAACTTTTGATATGATTTTATTGTAAACCTGATATTACCCTGGGATATAATGTGTTTTTAAGAGTTAGAATTCTGCAAATTTTGGTAAAACTCTGATAAATCCCTAGATAACTAGATGAGAAAAATTTGGGTCGTTACAAAGGTAACCATGAAAGACTTCTTTGCACCCTCTAAAAACTGTTACTACCGAGATGGAAAGAAAGGAAAAGTTATAAATGCATTCATCGGTATTGTATTACAGTTGTTACAGAAAGTTAGGAATGGAGTGGTCTACATAAAAAAACAAAGATTAATTTCATAAAATTGGTGGACAGAATAAAGTTATGTTTATTCTCATGTTCTCTCGGATTAAATATAGGGAAATAAGGATTGATTTATATTGGTTGGCATGGGGTAAATCTTCTATTTATGCATGCAACTTGCAATCCTTTGAAATCTCTTTTGGGGGTTGGGTTATAGATAACATGTGTTTGTGGAGTGCGATGTTTTGGTGAGTTCAGCTAACATAGTGGGAGAGGGGATTTTGTGTGAGTTTGGCGTGTGTTTTTTCTAATGTTGGGGTTTTTGTGTGGCTGTATGGGGTATCCGTTAGCTAACACATTTTTGTAAGTGGGTATTCATCTCGTGTAATTTCTTTCTTCCTTAATGGGTGGGAGTTGATTTTTACAGATTCTAATAAAAATTTAGCTTTTAATGTCTGATTGCTCGAGTGCTCATGCATCCTCTATGCCTCTTGGTCGTGGTTGTAAAAAAGACATGATTTTTCTAGAGTCCTAGAAATAACTAATTTGGTAGGAGTCCACTGATACGATACAGTTTAGTTATTGACATATTCTCTTGCCATGATGTTAAGTTGCTTTCAAGTTATTCCTTATTTTATGTTCAAGTAAAGCACCACCAGTAGGCCACGATTTACAATTCCTCAATTTTAGCTAACTTTAGGAGTCTTTGTTTATTTAATTCATGTATTGTTCCATTTGAGAATTATGAATGAAGTAGAAAATGGTTTCAATTGTGTTTCTGTAATATCTCTCATATCTATATTTCTAAAGGGGATTAGCCATCCATAATTGGCTTCTATCAATGGTGCTTTCATTCCCGTTCATCATGCCTCCCCATCAAGATCTGTCAACCAATGTCACACCGCCAACTATCCACGAGCAACTCTCCACACTCATTGCTATTTCCACTGCTAATCTCCATCGTCTTGATGCAATTATCTCACAAATGGCCACTGTCAACACCTTCATGGGCATTCAAACCGGAACCATGGCCAAACTCATCCCGCCTCCACCTCCGCTTCAACCACCGAATCAACAACCAATGCCGCCGCTGCCGACATCCACACCGTCACTGCCGCCGCCACAACAGTCGTTATTGCCACCGCCGCCTCTAAAACCATTGGAATTGCCCATGTCAACAACCGAACAACAATTCCTACCACCGATGATGCCACCCCCGAAAACTACCTACATAAAACTACAGAAAACAATTCCGGCCAACAAAAACTATCAAGGACGGTTCCAAACAAACGCACCGGGCCTCAAGAACGGGGTCCTTTTTAAGCGGAGACAAACGGATACGGATCTCTGGTCATACCTAAGGCCGCCTCCATGGCCAGATCCTTCCGTCCACGAGTACAACCCGATTGTTATCCGAAATCGGCATGAATCGGCCTTGAGGACAAGACCATTTTTCAGAGGCGGAGTATTGATACAATACAGTTTAGTTATTGACATATTCTCTTGCCATGCTGTTAAGTTGCTTTCAAGTTATTCCTTATTTTATGTTCCAGTAAAGCACCACCAGTAGGCCACGATTTACAATTCCTTAATTTTAGCTAACTTTAGGAGTCTTTGTTTATTTAATTCATGTATTGTTCCATTTGAGAATTATGAATGAAGTAGAAAATGGTTTCAATTGTGTTTCTGTAATATCTCTCCTATCTATATTTCTAAAGGGGATTAGCCATTCATAATTGGCTTCTATCATCCACTGCTAATGATGTGTTTGGATATTGGTTGCTGCTTCAGGTTACTCTGGTGTTGTGTATTGCTTATATTCAAATACATGCCGTCTCTTTGCTCTTTCGGTTATATTTCTCTTTGGGTGGCTGGTTTAATTTATCTTAGCATCTGCATATAGTTCGTTGTGGATTAAGCAACTTAGCATTCGACCAATGAGATGAAGTCGTAAATGAATAAGAATGTAATGGGCATTAATAATCCCTGGAGCACCCCGAAGGGAATTATTTAGATGGAAAATTAAGAAATTAGTTTTTTTTTTTTCTCTTCTCTTTATTCCTAACATTTAAACAAACAAAAGAAATAGATCAATTTTTTCTCTATTTCTAATTCTCTGAATCAAACACACTAGCTTTCAATTTTTAGATGTTAGAGTTATTTCATCTGACTCATATCTTTTTATGTTTCTCTATTGAATGTTTATTTCTCTATAAATAAAGATCTTGTACGTGTGTTTTATATATGAATAAAAATAAAAATATTCTCTCGAGTATCTCTATCTATGTTGGCCTTTGTTTCACAGCACGTTATCAACATGATTTTCTCAAATATCACAATAATTAAACTTCAAATTCTACACATACAGGCAGAGGCGGTATATAAATTTTCTCCATAAGAAGCATTAGCGGTCAACTATATGATTAGGTTGGACAAAAATGGTAAAAATGATCTGATCGGTCCAAAATTATCTAATTTCCTATTCCAAATTAAAGTAAAATCCATAAGTAATCTCCAAGCCTGTTGTGCTTAAAGACTATCGTGAACTAATGATACATCACAATTCAGTGTCGTATTGGATAATTTGTGAAATTTGATCGGAATTAGACATTTGTTGATTAACAGGTAGATTTAGTCATCAAATTAGTTATGTAAATTAACTGGAGGCATAGAATCCAACTTCCAATGTCTCCTCTACTTCCTTTTAGTTTTAAATTTGCAAATTAAAAAACAATACGATTTCTTAAAGTTCACATAAATAAAAATAAATAAATCACGTTAAGTAATTTAGAGTAAATAACTTTAAGTTTTACAATCACATATATTATTACATCGCCAAACAAAAAAAAGGTTAAACACTTAAACTTTAACTTACTCTGGCGATAGTTTCAGATCTTTTTTTTTTTTCATGCCTTCTTCAGTGGTCGAAAGGCAAAGAGAACAGGGAGGCGAGACAGTGAGTATCGAGTCATCGAGATGGGTCAAGAAAATAACCTTTTTTTTTTTTAATCCGTGCATGGCTGTGCTATTTTGAAGATCGAAAGAGCCAACAAAATGGTTAAATGGGCTTTATTTATTTATTTATTTTTGTCTTTAAGTCAACAGGCCCAAAACTTCAAACCTTGGAGCCCAGCCGAGCATCGACATTAAAAAAAAATAGTTGATCCAAAAAAATCCTTTACCTGTTTAATTTATGATTTTTCCACGGTTTTTTTTTATTTTTATTTTTTTTTAAATCAATCCACTGAATTTTAAAAGTAATTGACAATTTTGCCCCTAAATGTTAAAGGGAGAAAGATCACAGAGATTTGTTTGTAAACATGACAATTATGCACTTCGTATCAACCAACATAACTCATAAGCCTCCAAAAACCATCGCGCAATCTTTGGATTAGCTTTGTCTTCACCCTTATATATGCAATCGATGATATTGATTTTGGATTTACATTTAAGTTATGTACTAGAAAAATAAGATCACACCCAATTTAATCAATCAAATACATAAATCAAAGGCAGTACCTAACTAAACCTAACTGCTTCTTCATCCGTTTCTCTTTCTTCGTATTTACATCAACGGGGGAAGACGATTAAGAAGAAGAATAGTAAGATGACGGAGATAGAGGAGATACTCGTTACTCGACAGAGAAGATGTGGTGAGGTTGTTGGCGGTGGTGGGGGATTTCTGTGGCATTAGAAGTGCAGATCTGTGGGTAGATGTTCACTTTTTTAGCCCCTTTTAAATGGATGCCGATCTGGTTCTCTCTAGCCTGTTTTAAGAGTGCAGACCGGTTGTCGATGGTCAACGGAGAAGATGTTGGTAAGGTCTTCGACCGGTGGTGCATGAGATCGCCTGCTTTAGATGTGCAAATATATGGGTAAGACCGACAGATAAAGAAGTGTCGTGGAGGTTGTTAGAGTGCAGATGGCCGCCGACAGTGGTGATTCCGACGGCTAAAGTGCTAGTGAGATTATCAGGTTCTTGAGTTCTTCATTGAGTTTTGAGAAGATGGAGGAAGAGAGATGTGTGACAAGTTAGAATGGAGGGCACGTGATGGAGTGTGGTGCTGGAAGGGCATAATTGTCAATTACCTTTAAAGTTCAGTGGTTGGATAAAAAATAATAGTGGAAGAATCAGCAACCATTTAATTTTTGTATAACCATTAGGACATCTCCACCCTCTCCCCTACTCGTCCGATTGATTTTATCGTATCTCTATTTATTATTATGTTCTTTTTGTTATATGATAATGTCTTTACTATTTCGATTATAATTTACTACTTGGAGATTCATTCGAAATGTGTGGCACTTTGAAGAGCATGACTTTATCTCTAATGGTTGTAATTCTTCCTTCATCACTTTGGTCCCTAAGTGCAAAGATCCTACATCTCTAGCTGATATTAGACCCATTAGTTTGATTGGGTGTTTGTATAAAATCATTGCTAAAATCCTCGCATCCAGGCTAAAGCTGGTTATTAGATCCGTTATCGATGAGGTGCAATCTACTTATGTAGTGGGGCGTAATATTTTAGACGGGTCTTTAATCACGAATGAAGTTTGCTCCTGGGCAAAAAAATCTAAGGAAAAGGCCATTCTCTTCAAAGTTGACTTTGACAAGGCGTTTGACTCCATAAATTGGGAGTATGTAGACTCAGACACTCAGTGCTTCTCCAAATGGGTGGTAGTCAATGGGTGCCCCATGGAAGAATTCAATATTTCCAAAGAGGTTCGTCAAGGGGATTCACTATCCCCTTTCTTGTTTATTATAGGCATGGAAGGTTGAATGTTGCTCTTAGGGATGCCACTGAAAAAGGAGTCAAAATCCCTAATTGTGATGTGTCTTTGTCCCACCTTTTTTACGCTGATTATGCCTTATTGTTGGGCGAGTGGTCGAAGGCAAATATTAAAAATCTAGTGCGCATTCTCAGGTGTCTTCATGCCTCATCGGGCTTGAAAGTAAACTATTCCAAATCCAAGGTCTTTGGGATTGGTGCTAGTGATATGAAAACTATTGAATGGGCCGACATTCTCGGTTGTGCTTCCGGTTCCCTCCCTTTTCATTATCTCAGAGTCCCAGTCGGTGCCAACACGAATCTTGCAAAAAACAGGACACCTATTCTTGATCGTTTTCAAGCTAAGCTCTCTACTTGAAAGTCAAAAACTCTTTCCTTTGGTGGCTGCCTCACTCTCATTAAATTCGTCCTTGGGAATCTTCTAATCTTTTACTTGTCTTTATTTAAAGTTCCCTTGGGGGTGCTTGAGTCTCTTGAGAAAATTAGGAGACAGTTTCTTTGGGGTGGTAAGGAGTGTAATGTCTCAAAAATCACAGTGAATTTAAACTTTTCAAAACAACCCATTTACTAAAAGAAATGTTTACATAACATTTTTTTTCAAAACATTATTCAAAAACAGAGTCTCCCAAGATCAACAACATAAAATCAGGATGTGTACGGTCACGCCTTTGCCTTACCACAGTCCTCTGAAGTACATGAAACAAAAGTAAAACTGTAAGCCAACGCTTAGTGAGTTCCCCCAAAGTACCACCACATAAACATAACAAACCACAACATGCAAACATGAGCAGCCAGCCTGACTGGACCACCTCGCATGGCCTACAACCTATCTGGATCGCTCTACGAGCCTTCAGCATGAATGGACCGCCTCGCAGGGCCTACAACCTATCCAGACCGCTCTCAGGGCCTTCGGCCTGACTAGACCACCTCGCAGGGCCTACAGTCTATTCGGACCGCACCGAGTATCTTGGCCTTCAACACAAAGCAGGAACGCCTAAACCGATACACCATCACATATCAACATATACCATAACAATCAATAGCTAGCACATACAGGTGGTCATACATATCTAACAGATCACTACAGCATAGCAAAATCCTATATACTAGGATACAAATCTAACTGATCACAATAGCATAATAGCATACGGTAAACAAAGATATCAATCTAATGGGCTGACCTTGGTGCTTTCGACCTGTAAGTAGAGTGAGGAAACTCTGCTCCAACATACCGGCTCAACCTAAATCCCAAATGAAAAAACATTTCCCTTCTAAATTAATAACATTTCCCCACAAATACCATTGGTCAAAACTGGTGAAAGTCAACAAGTCAACCGAGTCAACACAACCGAGTAAACTCAGCCGAGTTGACTCAGGCTCCGTACGCGGGGCATACTCCGGAGGTACGCGGGGCGTACAAGCATGTCTGAGGTATCAAGGCCAGATCTGCGTATGCGCAACGTACCCTGCGGTACGCCCAACGTATGCAATAACCCGCTCTTAGCCTATTAAGCACTTATTTCTTCGACTTAACACGTCTAATTGCAGATCGATGGCTAAAATACCATCATGAGTCATAAATTTTCCAACTTTATGACTTTACATGTCCATTAAGTGCTTAAAACACAGCATCTCAACATCTTAATGCATTAAGACATTCTATAGCTTACATGCTGTAACGTCCCATTTCTGGTATGTAATTTTAATTAAAGTATCTCCATTTCTTAAGGGGTACTCGACGAGTCTATAGCCCGACTCGTCGAGTAGAAGCGGGATGAGC